CTCCTTCTCTCTTTCCAGTACATTATAGGAATATCTAGGAAGAAAAGGCTTTTGGTGTGTGACTCAGGCCTCTACTTGGGGTAAGGATTTGCAGATGGATACAGGGGGCAGGTCACTAGCTGATGCAAACAGATGTTACTCTGCTGACTTCAGTGGAGCTACTCTGACTTGAACCTTGCTTGTGGTCTGGATTGCTGCTAGGACTAGAAAGTTTTTCCTCTTGCTCCAGATGCACCGTGGCAAGTAATGAGTTTCCTGGGTGCATGCAAAAGGGCATTTTTTTCTACTGTAGGCTAAAGCAAGATGTTGAGCAAGGCAGCCTGATCAATTCCTTGCTACTGCCCAGCTGCCTGTCTCCTCTAGGCCCTCTTCTCACCTCCTCTTGGGGGATGGTGCTCTGCTCCTGGCCAGCGCTCCTGTTCGCTGCCTGGTGTTCACTCACATGCGCTCCCTTTGTCCTTCTCTCAGGTGGTGTATTTCACGGCCACGTTCCCATACCTCATGCTGGTAGTTCTGCTGATCAGGGGGGTCTCCCTGCCAGGGGCTTCCCAAGGAATCCTGTTTTACCTTTATCCAGACCTCAGTCGCCTCAGGGACCCCCAGGTAAGGCGGAGGGGGGACTGAATGGTTGAGCTGTCTGAACTTTGCTTGGATGGATGCTGATGGCGTTCCTCTTTCTGCCCTTTTTCTTTTCTCGTTCTCTTTCTTCTGCTTTCTTCATTCTGTCTCCTCTTCTCCCCACTCTGTGGACATAAGGCAGGGCTTTGATATTCGCATGTATTCTGGTGGTCCCAGTGCTAACTTGCCCTCAACCTTCACCAATGTTATTACTATATTTTCTGATCTGAGTTGGTCTGAATTGTCTGGGGATATTGGCCGATGTGGCAGAAGCTGTCAGTAGGGCTTTAAACCTTGCGGCTACAGAGAGACACCAGCTGTCACCCCTGTTTCTTGAGAGACTACTTTGCCACAGTGGTGCTGTGGAGCAGGGTGCTCTGCCAGGCACGGTCCAGGGGGCACAGCTCTGTGTTGTCGCGGCAGCATGCTGGGACGAGCCCTCTCCTCTCTGCATGCTCTGGCTTCCTTGGGAGTGTACCTGGCACAAGGAGTGCCCTTGCGGATGGGGAGGGAGCAGGGGCACATGTCAGATGGTTTCCCTGCTTGACTCTCAGGCGACAAATGCAGTGCAGTTGGGGACACCCTTCCTTTGCTGTGGACACACTGCAGTGAGATCCCAGCCTTCTCCAGGCTAGGCTGGGGTGTGCAGAGTTCCCAGAGACCTACAGACTCTAGTTTCAATTTTCATACAGTCTCTAGTTCAATTTTTCCAAAAAAGCTGCTGCTGCCCTCAGAGCCTGGGAGAGCGCCATGGTCCCTTCTACTGCTTTTTCAGGAGGAAGAAGGTTACTCTGTAGGCTGCTGTCTCTGTTCTCCAAAA